CTCTCTTCAGATTGTTTTATCCTTTTAGCTGCTTGCTCTTCTACCTTGGTAGTATTGAGAGATTTGTCTTCCAGTTCGCTAATTCTGGCTTCCATTTCTTCTAGTCTGCTCCTTTCCCCTTTCAGTCTATTGTCCATTTCTGATATCTTACTATTGATCACCTCGACAATTTTTTTGCAGGTTTTGAATTGTTTCCAATGCTGTGTGAATCCTATTTGATTGTGCCTGGAGTACTTTCCTTACTTCTTCCTTATTTTCTTTGACCCCTTTTGGAATATTTGAGCTTGTTTCCATATCATTCTTCTGAATTCCCTCAGGCATATCCAGAACCAGCTCCTCCTCCTCTATAAAGCCTTTCTCTGTCTCCAGCTCATTTGCGTCAGCTGCTCTCCTCTGTTTTTGGACGTGTTTTGATAAAGTTGATTGTTTCTTATTGGTCATGGTTATTGTTTTAATATTATTATTAATATGATTGGGAGATGGGCTTCCCTTTTCATCTGTAATGCGTAGCAGATGTTGTTGGGTCTTGTCTTAGTGGTGGAGTAATATGTTGTATGCTTATAGCTTGGCTATATGGTCACAATTGCTGTTTCTTCTTATGCGACGTAAGGAGGATACGTTCCCATCTCCAGGAAGGATGTGTGATCAAAAGGACAGAAATCACTACTTTGGTGCAGGGATGCGGCTTTGGTTAACTTTTTCTGTTCCCTGTCCCACCAGAACAGCCACTGGAAGATCCCTGCTGCTAGCTAGGAGTGGGGGCAGGGAGCTTAGATGCAAGGATGGGGGATGGGGGATGACGTCAAAAAGCCGCTGCATTTCGCCCTTTCTCTGTGCATGGGTGAGCTGCCCCTGACTGATTTTTACTGAGATCTCAAGCCAGGGCAGGGAGATTTTGGGGGGGAGCAATGTTGCTCCTTGTGGCTCCCTTTTTGTCCCGGGACCCCCTTTCTGTCTCCTGCTGGAAACGCCTCTCTCCTAACGAGCTGGCCTTAGCCCTGCCCTCTAAACTCTGCAGTTGCAGTAGCAACATGCAGTCCTGCAGGCAAGGGCCCCAAAATGCACACCTTTCTTTTTCCTTAGCAGCACGATTTCTCAAAAATGCGAGTTCAGGAGACTGAAATACCAGATCTTATGATAGTTTAAAAGCCTTGGGTCTGGTATATAAAACGTTTGCTTCGTGAGATCCCCCTCCTTTCTCACAGGAGCCCTCCCCTACCTGACTTTCCTGGCTGTGTGCAGAAGCGGAAGCTCCAGTAATGCCTTTTTTATAAAACTTTTACGTTTCTTTGAGTACCAATCCAAATTTTGTTTGTAGATGTCCAAACGCTTCTGTTTATGTTCTTCTGTGAATTGTTTGGATACCCATCTCGCACAACTTTTCGAAGCCCAAGTCTGTCGTAGATTATTTCATAGGCAGAGCCACTACCAATTTGCAAATGATTTGCCACATAATCCACCATCACTTTCTTCTCGACAGAATCATTTCATGTGCACACTCAACGTTGTCATCAGGTGTGGACATGGACGGGTGTTTTAATATAATTGGAGTATGGATAATTTTTGATGGAAGAAGAACATAGCTGTCTCGAGGTAAAGCTGGATTGTTCCTTGAAAGGGAAGATGGAGAGACTGTTTTTCTTGTACTTTGGACATGTTGTCAGGAGGGACCAATCCCCAGAGAAGGGCACTGTTCTAGGTAAAGTGGAGGGTCAGCATAAAAAGCGGAAGACCCTCAACAAGATGGACTGAAACAGTGGCAACAATGGGTTCAAACGTAACAACTGTGACATTGGCACAGTACTGGGCAGTGCTTTTTCTATTGTACATAAGGTTGGTATGAGTTGGAATTGACTTGATGGCACTTAACAATTTAAACTATTATCTAACTATTGTTGTTGAATTGCTTATTTCTCCTTTTAATTCTGTTAAGTTTGCTATCTCTTTTTTACTTGGGAAAATTTCTATTGATTTAACTTCAAATTCATTAATCTCTGCCATCCCAAGTCTATTGTGCCTCTGGGTGTTTTTAATTTCTATTATTTTACTCTTTATAATGCTTTTTCTAGCTTCAGAGGACCTGGAACACAGCCAACATAATCTGTTAGGTATAGGTGTGATCTGGATGTATCAGATACTTCAGGAATTGGGGAGATGCCAAAATCTTAGACATTATCTCTTAGGAATCAAGGACAAATCTCAAATTCTGGGTAAAGTTAAATTCTTTAAGCTAAACCACCATTTTTCTTAAATACTTCAGTTTTCTGTTCATAGGAAAGATGGCATTGGGCCTAAAACATCAAATTGTTACATTATTTCATAGATTGTAAGATGCACCTTTTCCACCCACGTTTTAGCTCTGAAATGGAAATGTATCTTATTCAATGGCATGTCATAAAGAGCAGTTGTTTCCTTTGAGTGGTACATTACATAAATGCACATGATACAAATAACGGACTTCTAAGTGGAAAGAAGGAGTCCTGGTGTGGCGCTGTGGGTTAATGCTCCAGACTACAAAGCCAACTGCAAGGTTGGCGGTTCAAGTTCACCAGCTGCTCCTCGGAAACCCTATACAGGGTCGCTATGGGTCAGAACCGACTCAACAGCACTTCACAACAAGAAGTGGAAAGAAACACAGATACCTTTTCTACCCCAACTTGCCTCACGGCCCCTCTTATTGAGTTGAACCAAGCTGTATACATTAAAAGGGGAGTAATCTTGTGGTTTCCTCCTCCCCATAGACAAGTGTGAAGCAAAAATGAACTCCTAATGCTTTCAATGCTGCTCATCTCAAGCCATTGCCTTTCTAAACAGAATCATTGGTAGGGTATTCCAGAAGCTTAAAAACAAAAAACAAAAATTGTAATCTATTTTAGATTTGAGATGACTCCTTTCTTAACATTTTTTTTTGCCTGTTTGATCCAAATTTTATTGTACCTAGCAGATATTAGGTTGTGGTCACGTTATAGTTTTAATATAAAGACTATTTAAATGTTGGTGTGTTTCTAGTTAAGTGGATCATTCCTTCTCTATCCCAGAAAGTAACAGTAAACTTTTTAGAAAAGCAACACTAAACAACAGTTGTTGCTAAGTGCCATTAGGTTGGTTCTGACTCAGCAACCTTGTATATGGTTTTCAAGGAGCTGCTAGTGGGTTTGAACCACTGACCTCATGGTTAGTAGTCTAGTGCTTATCTTATAGTACTACACTAGGACTTCTGCAATAACATTGCTGCTGCTGCTGTGTGTTGTCAAGTCAGTTCCGAGGCTATACATCTTTACAGGAACAGAAAGGCTCATCTTTCTCCTGTGGAGTGGCTGGTTGATTTGAACTGCTGAACTTGCCGTTAGCAGCCCAATGTGTAACCTACTATGCTCCCAGGGCTCCATACAATAAACACTAGGCTTACTTTGATTTACAAAGCAGTATACAAGTAGCTCAAAAGCTATGATTCTTACCTGTTTATAAAAATAACAGCTCTGATAATTTTGTAGTCAGATGTGTCCAATATTTAAATCAGTAAGAACTCAGGAACATTTAGCTATTCTAGATCTTTGGTTGCATGTAAAGAAAATAATCTTTTCTTGGGGAAAAGAAAAAAGGTTATAATTAAAGGCAAAAGAGACTGACTTGCAAGTAGATTGATCATCATCAATGTAGGTTTATTTTATTAAAACAAAATAAACCACATTCATCCCCAAAGAGCACTGTATCTTTAAAGCAGCAGCAACCACAAGGCATATTCATATGAAATACCTCAAGCAAACAGAAATGAAACATGAAAAAGGACTGTCGGTAACGTAAACAGATGTTGAAGACCATTTGTTAATATGGACATAGATTATAAACATGACTTTTTCTTTTACAATTTTGTTCCTTTTCTGTTAGTTAGTAAGAGAGGGCATAAGAGTGTAATATTTATGAGCTATCTTGTGGCACATATCACACATCTTTGCACCATTTAATTTGTTTTGTTCAAGAAATAAAAAACAGCTATAAGTACATTTTTAACGATTTTCATCTTAGTGTTTTCACATCTTATGGAATTCATAAGTTGAAAAAGAACAACAAAAAACCTCACTTATTTTGCTTAGCTTAGGAAACACTTGCAGTTGTATGACCCTAGGCAAACCCAGCATATGAAAAATGAACACATTCAAGACACTCTAAAGTGTCAAGAATATGATTTATAATTTGGGATTATCACAATAACCATCTTCCTAAAACAGATTAGAAATCAACACATAATAAATGTAAAGGTCGACTAAATATATTAAAATAGTATTTGATTCAAATTACTGCTCACTTAGGACACAGAATGAATGCTCTCTGGTTAGGGATGCTAAGATTAGCTGCTCGATATGGTCTAACATCAGTATTTAGCGTATATAAAGTTTTTATAATGAAAAGTTTTTAACAATCACACAGTGTTCCTTTAAGTATTAGCTACCATTTAGCTTCACATGATATGTGAAGTTAAATCAGATCTTCAACAGTATCTTTTAATAGTAAGTCTTGTGTCACATATTTATCGACTTGAACATTTCATAGTCCTTTCCACATGAAACAGTAGTAGAGCGTTAAGGAGTGCTTATAGACTCATTACTATCAGGAGAGAAAAGACACTGACAAGCCATTTTTAAGCAACAAAAAGGAATATAAAACACTAGTATAATAAAACATTTTAGTACTAAATAGCACAATTTAAATACCAGTTATATGCTGTCATTTATTTTCCTCTTTAAAAAATCAGTTCCCAGACTTTTAGATGTATCTTCTTTTTAAAAATAATAAACAAACTTCTGGTCACAAATGTGGTCCATATCCACACTACTTGGTAACAAATCCATTATGTATCCACAAACTTTCTCTTAGGTTCTTCATGGCTGGCCTGAGGTCTCTGAGAAGCCCACACTGCATGGTGATCCCAAGGATCTCAACCTTCTTGTGTGGCGGCGTCCACCAGGCTGAGACACTGCCTAGGGCAGCACAGCCTGGGCCACCTCTTTGATAGTGGATGCAGCTTTCTCCAGTTCTTTTTCTGTTTGTTCCACCGTGACCACAACTCTAATACTGAGACACAATAAAGGAAAAAAATTATCAAGGGTTAGCAATCTATGGCCTGAGAGACACATCTTGTCCACTCTCTTTCTGTCAATACAGTTTCTCAATACAGTTCCTTCTTCTTCTATGACTGCAATAAACCCAGTGTTGTGCCCTTAAACACTTCCTGGTTTCCGTCAATAAATCTGACCTTCACTCTAGTTTTGTTAAATGAATGCCAGTTTAAAAACGTGAATCAAGGCATAATTCTTACCTACAGCTTCTTGAACTTTATACAGACTTTCCCCACTATTGCTTTTCTTTACTACAGATGTCTGAGTTAGTGTTTGCTGGACACAGCAACATGAAGTGCTCTGGGAAGCAGAGGTTCTGGTGGGCACAGCCCAGACAAAGCTGTCATGAACACATGGGACATTAAGTGCATGGTAGAAATTTACTGATTGGTACTTCAGCTTGACCTAGAGGTTCTTGGGATCCTGGACATTAATCTAACTAGGAGAGTACCCATGAATCCTAAGGGACTTTTCAGTTAGAATTTTAAAATGTACAGTTTAATAACAGAAAGTTATATGTTATATTTTAATGATAGATATTTTTTCTTATACTGTGATGTTGTTGCTAAGCGCCATTGAGTCAGTTCTGACTCATAAGGACCCTATATAGGGTTTCCAGTATTATATCTTCGCAGAAGCAGAACACCTCATATTTCTCCCATGAAGCAGCTGGCAGGCTCAAGTCATGGATATCGAGCCACGGTGGTTATGGTGTGCCACCATGTTGGTTCCAACTCATAGTGACCCTCTGTAAGGTTTCCAAGGCTGTAAATCTTTATGGGAGTACAAAGCCTCATCTTTCTCCTGCGGTAGAATCAAACTGCTGACCTTGTGGTTAGTAGCCCAGGTTGCAATCCACTACGCTACTTGAGAAAATTTTCAAACAGAATGCATTTCAGGCGGACAATGTAAGAAAAAATAAAGGTTTTATTTTCACGTCCACCAACCTCGGAGGAGGGAGGCACTTCTCTTCTTTTTCCAAGTAGCGTGCCTGAGTTAATGCCACACTTCTGTTCATGCACTGTATGAATAAAACGGGACACATTCAGATTGAGTGAAAACAGGAGGCACACTGAAATTCTAGCCTTTAACAGTAGTTTTAACTCCTTTCCCCAATTATCACCGCTAGAATACAAAATGAAACCACCATATACTGTAGAGCAGCAGTGGCTCGTACAACTTTCTGCAGCAATGGGGATGTTCATTCTGTTCTGCCCCACAGGAGCCATTCACCACATGTGGTTTGCGAATACTCTGAGAGGTAACCTGTATAGCTGAGAAACTTAATTTCTAATTTTCTTTAAATTAACTTAAATAGTCATTGGTGATGGCTATAGTCATAGCATAGCTGATGGCTACTGCTACCAGATAAGACAGAGCACAGAGTTAAAGAATGTTGTAACAGTGTAAGCAGAGCCCTGAACAAAGAAATATAGAATAACATCAGCAGAACTGCTTCAGAGGACAGTCAATGTCAAATGTAAGCAATATCTATTAAAACATAAAAGTCACAACAAGGGAATGGATATGGGATATTTTTATAAAACATTCTGGGATGGTGTGAATATATTAAAATCTAATTAATTGCACACTTTAAAAGAGTAGAATTATGGCATGTGAATTGTCTAAATTAAAAAAAAAAAGAAAAAAAGAAAAAAGAATCTGAGCAAGGGGTGGCAATATACCATTGCCTAAAATAAGTAACAATTATTTGGAGTAAAAATATTTGCTTGAACAGAGGGCATTTTATAAAATGGAAAGCATGCTTTTCCCTGCTAGGAAGAGATGAAAAACAATGCCAGGCAATGATTACAGATTCCTGTGGAACCTACAACAACAATGGCTAAGGGCACTGACCGCCAGTCTCGATTGGTCAAAAACTTGTTCTTAACTTTTGACTCCTCTAAAACTAACTACATATAGGCTACTGTTAACTGAAAGTCTTACCAATAACATAAGCAGTGCATAACACATATTGTGTGTGTGTTATATTTTATACACTACATTTTCAATACCAGATAAAAGGTATTTTCACAAGAAGTGCAGGTTTCACAGATTTCCCTTCCTTTCTTTACAGTGGCCCTCAGGCTGGATTCAGGACCTCAGTCTACAGGCAGCTGCAGACCTCTTTCTATAGTACATATTAAACAATTCAACCTTTTCTTGGCCATGTCATGGCTTTCCTCTGCTTCTTGGGAAGCACTCCTAGCTTCACTGGTGGCACTTTGCATGAGATCCATGGTGTAACTCAAGGTTTATAGTATTGCACTAAACATGATGAAAAATACACAAGAACTGCAAGAGATGACTTTTTACTGTAATATGCAATTTACTGGAGATATGAACTGCTCATACAGAAATGATTAGCACCATCATTAAACAAAAATTCATGTCTATGTGCACCCATACATTTTAAACTGTGTGGTTCAAAGTTAAACTGTACTTGAAAAAACTCCTGAAACCATCTGCATTGGCTCTGTTTCAAGTCCTGGCTGATAAAAAAATCATTCTATATATAACTTTGTTCTTGTTGTCGTTAAGTGCCATTGAGTCTCTTTCGACGACCCATAGAGACCCAGTATAGGATTTTCAAGGAGTGACTGGTGAGCTTGAACTGCTGACCTTGTGGTTCAAACT